TTAATTGTTTTATTGACGAAAGGCGACGAAAAGGTACAATTTGCTTATGAAATGATTAATTAATTAAGTGTAGTTAGATGGAATATTTTTAAGTGTGGGAGAGCCATGCTTCGACACGAATGGGCCGGCTCGACCGGAGTGATACCACGGCCTCACAGAAAACCGACGTGCAGCAACGCTTGCGTTGTGTTTCGTCGTGTGAGTGAGGAGGCCCAATTACCTTCCCCTTCCCCAATCTCCCCAATTCCTGAATCCCCAACGACCCTCAAACTCCTAATCCCCAAAAAGCCGGTGACGCACTTGTAACGCCTCTGGTGTTCCAGGTGTCCATGGGCGACGCCGATTGCTTACCATCAGGTGATCCGTCTGCTCGTTTACCGGCTTATGCCATAAAAAAAATAATTACTCTTGAATTCACTCACATATGTATGTTTTTTGATGTAATGGATCGACGTTCGGTCATTATCTTGCCTGATGCACGATGAGGCGGTCTACAAGAGCACCATTGCATAGTCCGTGTATACCTGGTTTTTTTATACTTAATAGGTCGACGTTTGGACACCATCTCGCCTGGTGGTCCACGATGATGTGGCTGACGATGGAGCAAGCCTACCTATGAACAACCAAGACTCGGATCTTGAAGACACCCAAGTCATATTTGACGGGAAACACAGACTCGGGCAAGGAATTCCATTCCTTAGCGGTTCGCATGAGGGAGCTTGACGCAAATCGCTTCGTGCGAATGGGTGGAATGTCCACCATACAAGGGTGGCGCCCTGCCATTCGTCTAGTGGTACGGTGGTGAAATGGACTAGGTGGAATAAGGTTATGCAGTTCCCACGCACACTCACGGTTGTAATGGTAGGAATTTTTTACAATATTTAACCTTTACCTCCTCTATCCGATATTTAACCTCTTTAACCTGGCGCCCTAGAGACTTGCCTCAGGAATAATACGGCCCTGGTTGCTGTTGCGACCGAGTTGGAATAACCCAACTCGATCTTTTTTTTTAATGGGGGGAAATCCTCATGGACTGCCTCCGCCTGGGGAAAGGCGGAGGGGTGTGCCGGACTCTTACCGGCTAAAACCACCCCAGTGTCTCCTCGCACGTGCGCGCGGGGCCGCGGGAGTCCAAATTCATCCGCAGCCCCGCATTACAGTGCCGGCCCGTCCGTCCGGGCCTCGTATCCTGCACCGTAGCAATGTGTAGCCACGTTCATCGCCTCAAAGGCGCGCGCCGACACCCGCGCGCGCCTAACCCAACTCGATCTAGCATAACCTAGTAGTGAATTGTCTACATGAATCCGACTCTGTAGTCGAACACGGTACACTCAATAATCGTGCACCCACTGCACATTAGCCTATCACATAATCTTAATGATTTAAAGTAATACCACTTATCGTGTGTATATTAATGTTATTGCATAAATTTAAAAAATATATGCAATAACATTAATCTACTTACGAAATGCAGCTTAATAATCGGCGATAATGAACAATATGCATTAAATACGATAATTATGATTAAATGTATATTATGTTATGTGAACGCCTCGTTGGCCGAGTGGTGGCAAGTGCGACTGCCGGGCGAGGGGACTCGGGTTCGATTCTCAGTAGTAGCACGGTATCTAGAATTGTGCCCAGTATAAGGCAATAGGCTCACCCCTTATTACGTGGGACTCATAACATAAATAGTGAAAAGTGGGTATTACATTGTACAGTGGCATAATGTGCACCTCTGCCTACCCCTTCGGGGATAAAAGGCGTGATGTTATATTTATGTTATGTATATTATGTAGGTATGTCATATATAATGTGCATTTGTGCATTTTTCAAAAGGATATCCGCCATAATTTTTTTCACTGATTTAAAAAAAGGAGGTGTTTATCCGCCATTATCTCGCGATTGGCTCAACCGATTTTCATGCGGATTACAGAAAAGAGTTTGTTACATTTAGGAGCGGGTTTAAATATATTATTTGATTTCTAATTTAAGATATAAGTATGCCATTTAAAAAAAAAAACATCCGTAGTAACACGGAGTCTGGAAATGTGCCCGGTATATGGCAATAGCCTAGCCCCCTATTACATATGACTCATAAAGTAAATAGTGAAATGTGGATGTTACATTGTACAGTGGCATTAAGTGCCGCACCTTTGCCTACCCCTTCGAAGATAAAAGGCATGATGTGTAATACTATCTCAGTTTCATCGCAAAAGGAGTATAGGTAGCATTGAAATAAATGATTTTGACTTTGACTTTGACATTGAAAAAAAATGCTTTGACTTTGACTTTGGAACATGTTCTTGTCATAAAGCCTTGTACGGCGACTCATCAAGATAAATAAACCAATTTATCATGGCCTGGCTTTGTATGACCTTCCCTTACATTCAACGGTCGGTTTATACTAGTTCATATAACTAGATATACATACTTCCTAATCATGTACTAAGATACAGTGGGTAGCAAATCAAGCTACCCTTTCAGACCAATTTCTTTATTTGATTTTCAAATTTATCTGTTATACGTAAGGTTGAAAATACAATGACAATTTAAAAATTGAGTAGGTTATGCTGGCCAGTGTGTTATCTTATTTAAATTATTGTGTTATCTGTGTACATGTTTCTTTGTTTTGCAGTCTCCGCCTAGGTTAGTAGCATGCTGTACGTTTTTAGCATTAAAAAAAACATAGAAATAAAATAGGTACAAAAAGTGAAAGATACCTATACTATTTTTATAAATAACGGATAATATTTAGTGTATATTTTTTTATAATATCATAGTTTTCCTACATAGAAAGTGTTTATAGAGTTCATAAAGTTTCGTTTAATTTTCAAATAAAACAATACAGGGGTATGTATTCATTATTTTGTTTATTATTTAATGTATTCAATGAATATCTTTGGCTACGTCATCGCCCTACACCAGGGGAGATGGATAAACGCCATACTACTAAATCTAAAAAAATTACAAACAAATAAATAATATTATTATATGAGCCTCTATTATGGCTTGAAACTAGTCGAGTTCCTCGTCAAACAATTACGTGAATAACGGCCGCTTTTTCAATGCTCTGTTAAATTTTAACTGAGGAATAAGTTTGAATATTTGACAATTCTTCCATACTAATAACTGTCAAATGGCAATTTTATTATACAGTTAAAAAATAAATGACGATTGAAAAATTGGCCCTAAGTCGAAAACATCGCGGGACGATCTCCGGTCACCGTAAGGACGGGCCTGCGGACGGCGAGCGTGGGTGACTCCCCGTCCGACCAGAAACAGACCCGAGAGTACGGCGCGTTGCGTTCCGCGCGCGCCTCAAAGAGGCATCAGACCACCACAGGTGGGGCCCAACAGGGCCGATGCCGATTCGGAGTGGCGGAGAACCTAACGGGTAACCGGGGCTCCGGCTCGACGTGCAGGAGAAGGAACGGGGTGTAAGAGTCTGACACTCCCTCCCGGAGTGTCAGACTCTTACTGACTAAAAGCCTCACCCAGGCGGGGGCAGTCATTCGATGATTTTCCCCCTTTAAAAAAGCCGTTAAGTATGTTACGAAAGTAATAATATAAAAAAAATACAGAAACGCTTTTTTTCATACATCTAACAATATCAATCAATGTCACGTGTATGTGAACTTGTATGTAAAGAAAATAATATTTTATTACGTTATTTTTTATTGTATTTTTATGGACTACCCGTCCGTTTCACTTTTAAAAAAAACACACCGGCTTGTTCTGTTATCTCAAGGCACAAAAAGGATAAACAAACAGAAATAAGCACTAAACAGATTTTAAAACAACTTTCTCCAATAGCGAGAGTGATTTTACTGAAACTATTACATGAAGTAAAAAATCCTATCGTTGTCACCTATAGAGCCATTTTTTTTATAAAAACATTGCCCTTCACTAAGATTTTCCCTTCTCCTGTGTTGTGGGTGCGTTTACAAACATATAAGTTCACATACACATGACACTCATACATCAATTTGTCGATCACACAAAGAGCTGCTCCGTGTAGGAATCAAATTCGCTACACGTTACGCATCAACCGCCCAGTCATCGCACTAACCGAAATTATATATTGAAATTATCTATTATATCTATGGTAAAGTGTGGGAAAGCCATGCTTCGGCACGAATGGGCCGGCTCGACCGGAGTGATACCACGGCCGAGCAGAAAATCGACGTGAAGCAACGCTTGCGTTGTGTTTCGTCGTGTAAGTGAGGTTATCGGAGGCCCATTTACCCCCTCCTTCCCCAATCTCCCCAATTCCTGAATCCCCAACGATCTTCAAACTCCTAATCCCCAAAAGACCGGTAACGCACTTGTTACGCCTCTGGTGTTCCAGGTGTCCATAGGCGACGCCGATTGCTTACCATCAGGTGATCCGTCTGCTCGTTTACCGGCTTAAGCCATAAAAAAACAGGACAGGCGAATGTATAGGGCGCCAGGTTTCAAAGGGGCGGGCGGCGAGACGTGCGTGTCCAACTTCTTATAGAGTGACGGCGGCGCCAATAAAATTTTGAGGCGCCAGAGGTGCTTGCTCAGGGCGCTCTTTAGGCTTAATCCGCCCCTGATCACTGACAAACAATTTCATTTTAACTGTCAAAACAATAAAATAAATAAATATAACTAATATGATAATTTTTGTATTTTTCCAGCAAATGTTTAAGAAATAAGTATGCTGTTTGACGCTAAAAAAATATGACGTCACAATACACAATCTCGTACAAAATTCATAGAAAACTGTCGTTTTTGACAGTTCGAAAAAAGTATTGAATTTGACTAGTTGGCAAGTACCCGATTGAATCCATGCATTGAACCATTTATTCTTTTGTTTCAGGTATAAAATGGTGAAACATAGACATACACAACTCATATGGAAGCAATATTTGTGATAATACAAACATAAGTTCAAATACAACAGTGAAATAATTAACTGTCAATTAAAACAGTGTTCCAGTGATATTAGTTGTAGTTAGTTACAATAGTTCAAGATGGACAACTCAGATCCCGAAGCTAAATTGAATGAGGTAAGTTGTTTTTATTCATTATTTGCTTATGAAGCGAAAGAGGTAAGTAAGAATCGTACATATAAATATAAATACAAAGACTGCCTCGTTGGCCGAGTGGTCGCAAGTGCAACTGCCGGACAAGGGGTCTCGGGTTCGATTCCCGGGTCGGGCAAAGTACTTAATACAGGGTTTTTAAAAAAAATCTCTGTGGTAGCACCGAGTCTGGAATTGTTTCCGGTATATGGCAGTAGGCTCACCCCCTATTACATGGGACTCATAATATAAATAGTGGAAAGTGGGTGTTACATTGTACAGCGGTATTAAGTGCCGTAATGTGCTCCTCTGTCTACCCCTTCGGGGATAAAAGGCGTGATGTTATGTTATGTATAAATATAATTGGCTTTCCATAGCAGCGACAGACAGATTGCAGATGAATCACCTGATGGTAAGCAATCGGCGTCGCTCATGGACACTTGGAACATCAAAAGCGTTACAAGTGTATTACCGGCCTTTTGGGGATTTGAGGAATTTGAGGATCGTTGGGGATTCAGGGATTGGGGAGAGGGGGTAATTGGGTATCTGGTAACCTCATTCACACGATGAAACACAACGCAAGCGTTGCTTCACGTCGGTTTCCTGCTCGGCCGTGGTATCACTCCGGTCGAGCCGGCCCATTCGTGTCAAAGCATGGCTCTCCCACACTTTTAATATTGGTAGGTACTTTTGATTGATCCAGTTGAATGCAGTTTTATAAAGATCTGTAAATTATTAGACGAGGAACTCGACTAGTTTCAAGCCATGCTAGAGGCTCATATTCATGAGCAGCATTTCGCGACCCGCGACGCGGCGACTGTCGCGCTGCTACTGTACTCAGTAGCACCTAGGATGGCTTGAAACTAGTCGAGTTCCTCGTCAAATAATTACGTGAGTAAGACGTAAACATAATAATATATAAAGATCTGTAAACGTAGTCTTAAAAACATTTAAATTTTTAATACTTAAAACATATCTTATTAAAAACTTAGATTAGATTATCATAAACGAGATTATTGTAAATTACCATAAACCGGAATCGAATTGATTCAATCACATCGTAGATAATAATGTTTTTGTTTTCGGGGCGTAGCGGTCAGTGTCCATTTGACACATTAAGTGACACGTCATCAACAGCCTATAAATGCCCACTGCTGAGCAAAGCCTCTTCTCACACGGAGAAGGTTTGAGCATTAATCACCACGCTTGCTCAATGCGGGTTGGCGATTACAAACTTATAATTAAAAATTATAAGCCAACCAACGGCAAGTACCAATGTTACTTTTTCCCAGTTATATGTACTTTCTAAGATTATTTAGACACCACTGACAAACGGTGAAGTATAACTGGGAAAAAGTCACATTGGTACTTGCCGTTGGTAGATTTCGAACCCGCATTCTCATGCATGAGAAGCCAGCGTCTTAAACCTCCGGGCCACCACGACATTACAACGGGCAAGTGACACGTGCTCTGCCGAAAATCGATCCTGGTAAGACACGTGCTCTGCTAAGACTTAATATCTATGGATACTATACCCGGGTTGCTGGGGCTCCGGCTCGAAGGGCGGAAGTAGGAACAGGATGGTTTTTAGTCAGTAAGAGTCTGACACTCCCTCCCGCCTCACCCAGGCGGGAGAAGTCATTCGATGATTTTCCCCCTTAACTCGTCGAGTACCGGTTTTATAGACACAATTAAAGAACAATAGGTCGCGGTCACCGGTGACCGCTTGGTGTTTGACAGATTAAAAAAATACTTTTAGCCATAATCTTTCGTCCCAAATGACACCGTTGGTCACATATGATTGTTTTTATTGAAATGAAATATTTTCCCAAAATATTTCATTTAACTCGAAATAACTTTTTTGTTTGTAGGTCTGGCCCTTTAGCCAAACGCCACTTTAGCGCTTGTCTACAGAGAGAGTTGAAATCAAAATGTATGGGGATGACACTGACAACTGTCAAAATTTACGTCAATTCCATATTATTTGGTTTTCTACTCTACATCTAGACAAGCGCTAAATGGCATTTGGCTACAGCTGCTGGTCCAAAATAAAAATTTAGTTGTATACTCCATAGTCTTGTTTAATCTAAATACATATTAGTTTTATTTTTGTACACATAACATAACATAACGTCACGCCTTTTATCCCCGAGGGGAGAGGTGCACATTGCGCCACTTAATGCCACTGTACAATGTAACACCCACTTTTCACTATTTATGTTATGAGTCCCATGTAATAGGGGGTGAGCCTATTGCCATATACCGGGCGCAATTCCAGACTCCGTACTACTACTGAGATTTTTTTAAATCTAGTAATACCTTGCTCGACCCGGAAATCGATCCCGAGACCCCTTTACCCGGCAGTCACAGTTGCGACCACTCGGCCAACGAGGCAGTCTTATGATTCTAAAAAACATGTTTCCCAAGAGTACGAGCGAAATTTACCGTGTAACAAATACGCGTGCATTATGCACAATATGCACATATCTGATATCAAATAAGTTATGCATTGTATTGTTATGATTAATATACATTTGATAAAAATAACTCTGATTATAGACTTTATCAAAATCACAACTAAAATCCCTTAGAAAAAAACATAATGCATTAAATTCCTCCACTGTATTTTATACTAGCCTCTGCCCGAGTGCCCGCAGTTTCTTCACTCACATGGGATAAAAATTTTAAAAAGATCGATTGACTGCCTCGTTGGCCGAGTGGTCGCACGTGCGACTGCCGGGCAACGGGTCTCAGGTTCGATTCCCGGGTCGGGCAAAGTATAGTATTACTAGGATTTAAAATCTCAGTAGTAGCACGGAGTCTGGAAATGTGCGCGGTATATGACACACTCACCCCCTATTACATGGGACTCATAACATAAATAGTGAAAAGTGGGTGTTACTTCTGTGTGCAGTGCACCTCTGCCTACCCCTTCGGGGATAAAAGGCGTGATGTTATGTTATGTTATGTAAAAATATCGGGATGGTAATTTGGAACAGGGATAGATCTATTTAGTGGTTATGCAACCAATCTCGCGGCGTGACCTGGTCGGATGGTGCGACACTGGTAGCGCCACCAATAATTACTATGGCGCTTTATGGTGCGTCTCTCACTCAGCTGCCGCTGGTGTCCCGGTAAAATATAGCCCTTATATGACAGGCCCGGGCTTTGGGCACGGGCCCCAAGTGCCCTTAAGGTAAAGACGGTACTGATGACACCCACGGAAAGAGTAGGGATGGTTAAAAATATAACAACGCTCGCCACATGTTTTACGAGCGAACCAATTAATATTTTAACAAGCAATATCAATAACGAATCCAATCACAATTGTTATGTTTGATTGATTTTATCAAATGAACTATGAAGACGTGATTACTTCAGTTCGTGTAATACCTCTGGTGGCGTTCAGTTCATAGCTTGTACCGCAACAGGTTTTTTCAATTTGTCGCGACTGAAGGCAAGCACTGAAGTGTCTCCTGAATATATATATACATTTTTTTTAATTAACGCTTGCACAAAGTATACACAAGGTGGACTTAATGCCGCAGGCATTTTCTCCCAGTCTGACCTTTGGCCTTGGGTGATGCAGAGAGTGAATGGTAGGAGCAAGAAGCAAGCAATGATTTAATTGAGAAAATAGAAGATTATACTTATTTTTGACGTGACAACGTCTTATAAATTGGTTTGCCGGGTGACACTTCAAGAAACTGCGTTACGCTCCGCTTACGTTATGCGCTCACAATGAGAGCGAGTGAGAGGCACGCGTCCCTTCCACTCGGGCATGGTTAGCCCGCCTAAGAGCGAGAGAGACAGACATCGTTGTCACGTATAACTTTCGCCCCTATACCGACTTTACAGGCAACCAATTTTTTTTTTCAATTAAATCGAAGATTAGATTATATATTGAAGGATTCATGTACGCAGATGACCTGTGCTTGTGCGCAGAACCCTCGGTAAGTCTTCAACAGCTTGCTACAAACCTTCACGAGCAGTGCTCTAAATTCGACGTAAAGATCAGCATCAAATAATAAAGAAGTTAGGTTTCTGGATTAAAGACAAGTTAGGCCCAAAAGGAGATGACGGGACGAACTGGACATCTATGACAAGGATTTGCCGCAAAAAGCATAGAGAGCTCTTTGATAAAGCCTTTTAAACTGTGATATTGAACCAGCCTGTTAAGCTTGGAAGTTGGAGATTATGACAAATCCTCTTTTTCTATGAAGTGACCCGGAGGTTTAAGACGCCCGCTGCTCACATATAAGGATGCGGGTTCGAAACCTACCAACGACAAGTACCACTGTGATTTCCAAGATTATATAGACACCACTGACAAACGGTGAAGGAAAACAAGCCAATAAATGCCCACTGCTGAGCAAAGCCTCTTCTCACATGGAGAAGGTTTGCGCATTAATTACCACGCTTGCTCAATGCGGGTTGGCGATTACAAACTTATAGTTAATTAGAAATTATAAGCCCAGGTTTCCTCACGATGTTTTCCTTCACCGTTTGTCAGTGGTGTCTAGATAATCATAGAAAGTACAGATAACTCGGAAAAAGTCACATTGGTACTTGCCGTTGGTAGGTTTCGAACCCCCACCCTCATGAATGAGAAGAGGGTGCCTCCGGGCCACCACGAAGCAGGACTATAAAATCCTGCAATTAATGATGATGATGATGAATTTAAACTGCTTTTCACTATTGAAATTTAAACAGAAACGAATACTTTCGACGATATATTGATACGAAATGTCGCGTGACGTCACTTCTATGTACATTTTATACGTAGAAATGACGTTTTAGGTCTGTCCACCGCGTGGGTTAAGGTACTGAATACTAAGTACCACACCCAAAAATGTGACCAATAGAATGTTTGTCTGTCTGTCTGTATGGTCATGGATCATGCAAGAACTACCGGTCCGAACTCCGGCTCGAAGGGCTGGAGTAGGAACTTAGATTAAACGGGCCCCCATTCCTAAACTTTGATTCGTTTAATCTAAGTATTGTTTTATTATACGACAAAATAAAAAATACGTGTCTAATATTTTTTCATTACCTAACTTACGGACTAATTAGATTTTTAATTTTCATACCCTGTCATCATCCCAATTGCAGGGATTGGACAAAGAACCTCTTGCTACATTTGCGGTAATCAAAAATACTGTAGCCCTATATTGTTTGACTAGTCAAAATCGATCTAGATCGATGAAGCATTATGAAGCAGTATGAATACAATTAATTATGTTTGAATAACAACCGATTATGGTACTACGCGTTGACATGTTGTTTATAAACGAATTTGGTTTTAGTAAACAACTTTTGTTATAATGAAACAATGAGACAAGATGATATCTATATTATTATTATATTAGATTAGGCTAGCTTCTGCCAGCGGTTTCACCCATGGGTATCGTGTTCCCATGGGTAAAAAGTAACTTAGCGTTACTCTAAACTCTTTTTTTTTGGGGGGGAAAAACATCGAATGACTTCTCCCGCCTGAGGCGGGAGGGAGTGTCAGACTCTTACTGACTAAAAACCATCCCGTTCCTACTCCTGCACTTCGAGCTAGAGCCCCGGTAACCCGTTATAGTAGGGGAGCCCATGAAGGGATTTCGGTAGTTACTCGAGCGCGTCAGATTAACATATGGGGAAAACCTAGTGTCATGTTGAATATACCCACCATATATCCGATCTGATTAGAAGGGGTGGACGAAAAATTAAAAAAAAAGTCTGACTAAATAACGTCAGTTTCGTCAGATTAAGGGAAGGTAGGTCAATACCATGCTAAAGGAAGTGCGTTTGAAAAATCTGCCCATTCCAACTTGATTTACAAGCGAGGGGGGATTTTGAAGGGTTCTCGTTTGTACTCCCCAGAACATTCAACCCCATCATGCAAACTGGCAGATTAAGAGTTTTTTATTATTAAATACACATGGAGCCTGTACACTATCAATATCTGACACGCTTGACCACTAGAACAAAAGTTATGCTTAACAATTTCAAAGATCTGTGGATTCCCCCTTCCCCCACCTGGGGAAGAAATTGTCACTAAACCATTTCTTCTTTCTATCAGCATATCTTCAAAATCCAGTAGGTCCCAACGACGCTCAAGTAAATCCAAATTTAGCATCGTGGGCTCCCCTACTATTAAGTTCTCCGCGGGTCCGTATCGGCATCAGCCCTATTGAGCCCCATCCGTGGTGGTCTGATGGCTCTCTGAAGCGTGCGCGGAACGCGACGCGCCGTACGCTCGGGTACTCTAGACTGTAGACCATAATCTACCTCTGTTCCAGCCATTTTGAAGTGACTGAGTAACAAACATACACACAAATACACAAACTCAAATATTTTAATTACAGTTACAGCGTTAAGTCCACTGTGAATGCAAACTAACATTCGACAAACTTATATTTGCGTTTAGTACAGTAGCTCTGTCTAGGGATTGGGCCGCACAATTGAGTTTGTCTTTTTGAGTAGGTACCGTAAAATAAGGTGAATAAGGATCGAGAGGTGAATAGAGACAAAAGAGGGGTGAATAGATATTGGGAAATTCTTCATAGTTTCGATTCACCCCTATTCTGTCTCTATTCAACTCTCGATCCCTACTCGCCCCATTTTACCGTATACATTTTTTCGGGATTAAAAGTACCCAGTGTTATGCCCAGGATGTTATAGTATAATCATACCAAATTTCATCGTAATCGGACCGGTAGTTCTTGCATGATGCGTAAACATACAGACAGACAAACATTCTATTGATCACATTTTTGGGTGTGGTACTTAGTATTCAGTACCTTAACCCACGCGGTGGACAGATCGCATAAAAAATATTAAGTCCGCAGACAACCTGAATGCAGGTCACAAGTCATTTAAATCCAAACCAGCTGATACGAAAGTAACAGAGTGGTTGACAGGATATGAAAATTAAAAACATGATTAGTCCGTCAGTTAGATACAAAAAGAATATTAAATACATAACATAATATCACGCCTTTTGTCCCTTAAGGGGTTGGCAGAGGTACACATTACGGCACTTAATGCCACTGTACCATGTAACACCCACTTTTCACTATTCATGATATGAGTCCCATGTAATAGGGGATGAGTCTATTGCCATATACCGGGCACAATTCCAGATTCCGTGCTACTACTGATAATTTATAAAACCTCCACAATACTTTGCCCGACCCAGGAATCGAACCCGAGACCCATTGACCGGCAGTCGCACTTGTAACCACTCGGCCAACGAGGTCACGAGTCACGACTTTATGACTATATTCAATAAAAATATTTATTTTGCAGCGACCTGAGACCAATGAGGTATCCATAGATGAAGCCAAGAAGAATGGAGTCAACGGTGGTGTAAGTATATTTCTTTTCTAATCCAGTTTTATTATACAATTTTAACCAGAGCCGTACTAAGGCAGACTAGGGAAATGGGCTCCAGGTTTTTTAGCTTATATAAGGGCGCCAGATGTTTTTATAGCTTATAATATATTTTATTTATTTCCATATATATATTTAAAATTCTCTATAAATTACATTTATAAATACTACTTATAAAATAAAAATAAATAAATTAAAAATATAAAAATAGGAGCCGACCAGTAGCGGGAGCATGGTCCAAGCTACCGGTGGTTAGGGCTCCAGAGACAGAAATCTCCTCACGATACGTGCCGTTTCTAGGAGAACTGCCTTCTGTTTATTTATTATTACATTTCAGTACAGTTTTAAACCATTTTATGCACCATTAAACCAAAGCTGTATTGGTACTCACATTCGCTTAGCAAGTAATTTATAAACCCATTGAATATACTTCCAAGTGACAATAGATATAACATTTTAAATAAGTTAGATATTTCAAGAGTAAAAGTAAAAATCCATGAGCAAAGCTTAAACGCATTCATTGACAGTTGAATGAGTGACATCTGCGCCAAAAAAGGGGCGCCTATGAGGTGCTTGGGCGCTCTCTTAGTTTAATCTGCCCCTGATTTTTATTTTATCGAGAGATATAATAAATTTAAAGAATATGTATATTTAGCAATATTGTTATTCAATGAAATATCTACCAAAATCCATATCTGTTCTTCTACATAACTAAAAAAAGATAATTTCAGCACTGGAAAAATATTTTTATTGTAGTCACTTATTAAAAATTTGCTTATTTTTTTTATATCAATCTGAACTCCGCTTAAACTGGCGGTAATAGGTGGGTTTACGTTAGTTTTCAATTTAAAATACGTTTAGTACGGCTGACGGTCGTCGAAGGAATCAAAGGTCACCCTGGGAAACGCCTTGTCGCACGAAATCGCATCGCAGCAATTCGCATTGCATCGCTGTTTTGTGTACGAGCCCTACCATAGAAAATATTTTTATGTATTACTTGTAGTGAGTCATGGTTGTTTTTCTATTTTTAGCCGGTAACACACGAGTACTTAGACTATGAACCATCAGGCTGGTTGGAGACGACCCTGCTGAGGGTGGGGAGCTCCACAGATGACTTCATCAAGCAGAACCGATCTGTTATGAAGACAGTCACATTGTTTTCATTAAATGGACTAGTCCTGGGATTCTTCTTCGGATCTCTTTATCATTATTTAAATAATGGTGAGTATATAATAAAATATAATACATGCAACAACAACAACAACAACATCATGCCTTTTATCGAAGGGGTTGGCAGAGGTGCACATTACGGCACTTAATGTCACTGTACAATGTAACACTCACTTTTATATTATGAGTCCCTGTAATAGAGGGTGAGCCTATTGCCGTATGCCGTGCATAATATTCCAGATTTCGTGCTACTACTCAGAATTTTATTTAAAAAATCCCAGTAATACTTTATCCTACCCGGGAATCGATCCCGAAACCCTTGCCCGCTTGCTTGCACTTGCGACCACTAAACCAACGAGGCAGTCTACAATACATATTAGTGTAAATAATTACAGAGATGAAGAAGCTTTTATGGTTTAGGTCGTTCTGCAAACGAGCAGATGAATAACCTGATGGTAAGTAATCGGCGCTGTCCATGGACACCCAAAACACTAGTGTGGACTGTGGAGTTTCAAGTGCGTTGCCGGCAATTTAAAGTTTAATAATTTGAGCATTAGAGATTTGGGGATGCGGAGGTCATTGGGCCTACGGGAACCTCACTCACATTGCTAAACATAACACAAGCGCTATTTCACGCCGGTTTTCTCACGGTCGTGGTATCACTCCGGTCGAGCCGGCTTTATAATGACGCATGGCTCTCCCACACTTTAATATATATGTATATATTTTCTATGAAACTCACCTTACAATACTGTAAAACTAACATTTAACTTTATTCCACAGCCAGAGAGCCTCTGGAGCTCTGTCATGGCTTCGGCAGTCTCATAGCATTCCTGGGCATCATATACTTCTTTATCATATATTTCCTGGTGGTGAAGAGGTTGATAGGAGCCTGGTTCGAGAGGACTGTGTGGAGCAGGGTCGACAAGATCTTTAGTAAACTTTGGACTATGATGTGAGTACAATTTTATTAAACTTTTGCTAGCGAATTTGCCCACGTTGCCAGGATAAAACTTACCATACTCTGTACCTAATTTTGTCCAAATCCGTCCAGCAAAACAGTCAGTGACATTCCTCTGTTGGACTATGGACCTCCTCTTCATAAGAGGGTTTGCTTCAATAGCTTCAAGTTTATCAGAAAGAGATCAGATCAGATCTGCTAGGTCGCTGTCAAAAGTGCAGTCCTTTAATCTTACAACATCTAGGGAAAGAGTAGGGGTTGACAAGTGACAAATGCCTTTCGATTTTCTACCGGATACATTTCGGTGAGTGTGCGGGAATGAAAGGAAGGAATTCCACAACTCGATTCTTGAGTTACACAAAGATGTACTGTAAGATTTGTTGTCTTGATTAGTTATAAATAAAAGCCCGCGACGGCATATCTCTGTCCTTTACGTGGAAGTCACTATGCCGATAATTAAGAATATTAATTACGATTTATCTGAAAACGGATGACAGGTAACATTACTATAAATATAACCAAAGTACTGAATCGATTGTGATGATATTTGTTGCAGTCGTACAACCTTAGAATATGCCTTGGCATAGACTAATTCAAAACAATTTATACAGAAGTCGCTATTTCACGTGGACGAAGTCGCGGGTAACACGGGTGGTCTACCATAATTTCTACTAAGCTTTCAAATTACAAGCAAGTCGCATATTTTTAAATCTTACAGCAATTGAAATCTTTCATTACAGTTGACAAGCGCAAAACATCAAACGTTAAAAACTTCTGAGAATTGATAGATCGGTCAACGAGTTTAAATTGTTCATTAAAATGTTGTATCAATTTAAACTGCTTTAGCAGAATTAGAATTAAACCAATCAGATGTTTGGAGCTCATGACACTGTAAGGTCATTGACTTGACCGTGAATTCCATGGTGTATGTTGTGCGTGGCTTATTAAAAAGAATACTATCGGAAAACTATATTCATTTAACATAACATAACATCATGCCTTTTATCCCCGAAGGGGTAGGTAGAGGGGCACACAGAAGTAACACCCACATTTCACAATTTATGTTATGAGTCTCATGTAATAGGGGGTGAACCTATTGCCATATACCGGGCACATTTCCAGACTCCGTGCTACTACTGAGATTTTTTTTAAAAACCCAGTAATACTTTGTCCGAAATCGAACTCGAGACCCTTTGCCCGGCAGTCGCACTTGCGACCACTCGGCCAACGAGGCAGTTAAATATTTTTTTATTATATTCGTTTTTGACCATGAAAAATACTTACAGCATTAGTTATCAAAATAAACTGTTTTTTTTTTGTTAATGGGTCTCGTTTAATAGGGGAGAGTCTAGAGAAATAGAGAGTGCCCTAGGCACCTCACAATCGCTTTATTTTTTTTTCTTGACTCCGCGTCACTCTGTTAGTAGTTGGACAAGCGCGTATCGCTTCGCCACTGGGTAACCAGCAGCTGTAGCCAAATGCCACTCAGCGCTTGTCTACATGTAGAATAGAAAACCAAATTATATGGAACTGACGTAAATTTTGACACTTGTCAGTTTTATCCCCATACCTACATTTAATTTTCTACTCTCTCGGTAGACAAGCGCTAAAGTGACGTTTGGCTAAAGGCACTGGCGCCCATTTTATTTTTTCATTTTTTTTTTTTAAATTTGCCCTTGTCTAGGGCGCCAGGAAGGCATCCTGTTTACTTTGGGGGCAATACGGCCCTGGACGCGCCGAACTTCAATGTTTCGGTGTTTGCAAGGTACTCTACTGTAGATCATGGTACACTAGAGTTGTAGCAAATGGGGTTTGTGGCGGGCTTGTCCTATAAAAAATTTCTTATGATATTAAATTTTCGTGAGACATAACTACTTATTAAATTAATTATTATGTTTTTCGACTTATGGCTGACATGGCTTCTAGCATGGCTTAAAACTAGTCAAGTTCCTCGTCAAATTGTATAATTACGTGAGCAAGCCGCATGCCGGCTTCGGCTACGGCGACCGTTTTGTCTAATAGCGTCTATCATGTGCTCTCAAGTGGCTGGAAAATCCACCTATGTTTATTGATAGTTATTAATTTATTATATACAAAGGCAATACTTGTTTTACATGTATTTTGACATGGTTTTTTAACTTAATTACTTTTGTTTTGTCCACAGATGGTTCCGCTGGTGTCTTGTATTAGCTGTGTTGGCCGCAATAGCTGTTTACTTGTTTGTTGACACCCGGGATGATCCAAGCAGACTCATCTCACTTATAGGACTATTTATAATACTATTGTTAGGTTAGTAAGAGAATAAATGTATATATTTAACACTCAAAACAAAATAACGGCCATCGTAAATATCTATTTTCTAATAATTGCCATAAAGTCCATAAAACCATATTCAACCTCCTTTTTCGAAGTTAGTTAAAGTAAAACTTACTATTAAGTGTAACGAATGCTTCTCTGAAAACCGCATGAAAATCCGTTTAACTAAGATAATCGCGGACAAAAAGACACACCAATCATATTGAGAAACTCCTTTTTTTAATACGAAATATACTCCGACTAGCAGCCCGTCCCGGCTTCGCACGGGGTAGACAATTATTTATTTTTGGAAATTTCGATTGTTGTAGTGACATAACTACAATAGTTGGACATATGCTGCCGCGGAGTTTTGTGTAGACATTATGATGTATTTCAATATTGTTGTACATTATTTTGTTCTATCGCTAATAGTTTCGGCAGCGCATTCGACGAAAGACATTTTAAGACTCATTTATCTACACCTTCGGTTACATTGTTCAAATTTTACCAAGGATCCCTAATTTTTTCCAAAATGAAATGTAGCCTATGTCAAATTGGAAGAATGTAGCATTCTATTGGTGAAAGAATTGTTTAAATCGGCCCAGTGCTTTTTGAGCCTATTCATTACAAACATACAAACATACAAAAATACAAAAATAGGTATAAATCATTCTTCTTTATAATATTAGTATAGATAAATAAGATATCCTTACTAATCGGAGTACAAGTAATTATCGGATTATAATGCACAGAAAAAGAGATATTGTAAAAAACTGGTTTTTTGCCGCCATTTTTCCAAGATGGTGGCGCGAGCGGCTCACGTACAAAGGTGTAAAATGGCAATCAGAAATAACACATCAAAATCTACAAAAGTTCCGGATAACATTCCAGATAGAACCACTAAATAGGTTAGATGCCTAATTTTTATTTTAATGTCCGCCTGGTAGATTATTTTAAATCATTAGACACGTTTTTTTTTATATTTTCTTACAGAAACGAATACTTTCGACGATATATTTGATTTGAAATGTCGCATGACGTCACTTCTATATATGTACATTGTATACGTGGAAATGACGTTTTAGCCCCCTCTCCTAAACTTTGATTCGTTTTATCTAAGTGTTGTTTTAATACGTGTCTAATATTTTTTCATTTTCTAACTTACGGACAAATTAGGTACATTTTTAATGTTCATACCCTGTCATCATCCCAATTACTCAACTATTAATGATAATTTATTATTCTTCTCTTTTCCACCAGGTTTCGTGTTCTCTGCCCACCCCGGTCGTATAAACTGGCGCACTGTGTCTACTGGTCTGCTGATCCAGTTCATCTTTGGGGTACTCTTCATCAGGTGGACTCCTGGAAGATTGGCGCTGCAATGTTTCTCTGATAAGGTAAATTTGAATACTTTAATGGATCATCAATGTGATGCTTTCATCTTACTTTCATTTGAGATATCTGAGGACTTATTACGAGTTAGCTGTTTTTTTTTTATTTTTAATGGGATAAGCCGGTAGACGAGCAGACGGATCACATGATGATAAGCAATTGGCGTCGCCCATGGACATCCGGAACACCAGAGGCGTGACAAGTGCGTTACCGGGCTTTTAGGAATTGGGAATTTGAGGATTGTGGGGGATTCGGGTATTAGTGAGATTGGTAATTTATCTCACATACACGATCAAACACAACGTAAGCTTTGTTTCACGTCGGTTTTCTGCTTGGTTGGTTCATGGATAAATCAGAGCATCGAACGCTGTCTCGTTTCGATTACTTTAAAAGTTCAATTGTGGGAGAGCCATGCTTCGGCATGAATGGGCCGGCTCGACCGGAGTGATACCACGGTCGAGCAGAAGACCGAAATGCCAAATTACCCCCCCCCCCCCATCCCTTTCCCCAATCCCTGAATCCCCAACAACCCTTCAATTTCTAATTTCAAAAGGCCGGTAACGCACTTGTAACGCCTCTGGTGTTCCAGGTGTCCATGGGCGACGCCGATTGCTTACGAATGATCAGTCTGCTCGTTTACCGGCTTATAACATAAAAAAAAATGTATAACAATCTCGTCGTGGCGACAAAAACATATATGTTTATTCTACTCACCCACATAGCCGTATTATGCCTAAGGCAAACTAAGCAAGCGCCAGGGCGCCAGGTTAAAGACAGGCGCCACAAGACACGCGTGCCCTACTGCCCATAGAGTTGACAGCGGTGCAATAAAAAAATAGGGGCGCCTATGAGGTGCATGCCTAGGGCGCCCTTTAGATTGAATCCGCTTCTGTTCTACCATCAATAAAACTAATTAATAATGTATTTTTTCATTATACCAGGTGGCGACGTTCCTGTCTTATGGTGTTGAGGGCGCTGCCTTCGCTTTTGGAGACCTACTAGTCAGGACTGAAGGAGTTTTCGCGTTCAGTGTGAGTAGAATTTATTTACTATATTTCGTAGAACTTTTTTGAAATCGTGTAGCATTTTTTTAACCGACTTCAAAAAAGGAGGAGGTTATACGTTCGGCCGGTATGTTGCTTTTTTTTTTTTTTTTGTATGTATGTACGCGCATAACTCTGAGATGCGTGAAGCGATTTGCAAAATTTTTGTTTTGTTGGAAAGGGTATACTCCCAAGTTGGTCCCATTTCCATGAGGTCAGGATCTGATGATGGGATCCTAGGGAAACCGAGGGGAACTTTCGAAAATTATATGGGCGAGTGATGCGTCTATTATGTTTTTCAATTAGGATTTTTAAACACTACAATTTGATAAGGGTCTGGAGTCGACCTGATGATGGAGCCGATAGACAGTCGAGGGAACTCCTCAACGGTATACAGTAACTACCTTGTGTTTGGGCTTGATTAATTTGTATTGATGAGGACTTTACACCTAGATAGAGTAGGGCTGTCATTAAGGGTCTGATGATGAAGAAGTGTAATTGGTAAGGGAACTCCTCAACGGTATACTGTAACTACCTTGTGTTTAGGCTTGTATAATTTGTATTGATTAGAACTTTGCACCTATGTAGATTATAAGTAACAAAACGGGTATATGTAGCTTTACACTGAAAATGATAAAATAATAAAATAAAAACTGCGTTTAAAAAACCGACTTCAAAAAACCAAAAACTAATAACAAACAAAAAGTCTAAACTAAAAAGCAAAAAATAACTATTATTAGTACTGATAGGTTACCCACCCACTGATAGGTTAGAAGTCGGTGCCATAAGCTCATATCATAATGATATAACTGTCCACAAAATTGTGAATTAGGTACCTATTAAGGTTTTAATGAATAATTTTGTATGGAACTAATGGCACCGACTTCTAACCTATCAGTGGGTGGGTAACCTATCAGTACTAATAATAGTTATTTTTTGCTTTTTAGTTTAGACTTTTTGTTTGTTATTAGTTTTTGGTTTTTTTATCATTTGCTTACGTACCCACTGTTCCATAAAAAATTTAAGGAATATACAGTTTACGTTTAAATCCATCTCCAATTAAATGGAGACAAGTGACAAAAACCACCAAATTTATAATTCATTATCTTTTTATCAAAATTGACCTCTAATCGCGGGTTACTAACGTGAATATACTGAGAAAAGCTCCACTAGTTTCGAACCACAGAAGGGTTCTTCCTCATGTCCCGCCGATGTCTCGCAGCGGTCGAAACTAGTAGAGCTTTTCTCAGTACATACACTGTAACCCACGATTTTTAACTAGTTAATTTAGTATGTCTCACGATAGTTATTATAAAATAATATCTTTTTATCTTCCAGACGTTACCAGTAATCTTCTTCTTCAGTATGTTGGTGGAGATCTTATTCTTCTGGGGCGCCCTCCAGTGGTTTGTGTTGAAACTAGGCCAGGTGTTACGGGCGGCCACGGGCACCACTGTCTGCGAGAGTGTTATAGCTGTGGGAAACGTGTTCTTGGGGATGGTAAGTTGTCAACTCAAGTCAAATAATATAATGTACCTAAAGCTTAATCTTATACTATTATATAATCTGATCTTATACTATTATATAAAGCGGAAGGATTTGGTTATTGTTTGTTTGAACGCGCTAATCTCCGTAACTACAAGTCTGATTTGAATAATTCTTTTTGTGTTGGATAGCGCATTTATCGAGGATGACTATAAGCTATAAAACATCTCGCTACGACCAAAAGGAATTGAGCAGAGCGTGTGAAACCGCGCGAAAGTAGCTAGTACTTAATATAAATGTAAGTTTGATTTGTGGAACTACAAAAGGTGTAAATGGCTACTTTCATTAATCGAAAACAAATTATTTCGACTGTTCAATATAATAAAATAAATAATAATCACACTCTCATTAATTAATTTTATGACCGACTTAATTTTAGTATTTTTCTAGCAAACTTTTAAGAAATATGTACGCTATTTGACGCTAACAAAACGTGAAGTCACAATACACAATCTCGTATAAAATTCATAAAAAACTGTAGTTTTTGACAGTTCAGAAAAAGTATTGATTTTGACTAGTTGGCAAGTACCTGATTGGGAGTAATATTAGAATTAGAATTGATTTACGGAAACACAAATAACATAACATCACGCCTTTTATCCCCGAAGGGGTAGGCAGAGGTGCACACTACGGCACTTAATGCCACTGTACAATGTAACACCCACTTTTCACTATTTATGTTATGAGTCCCATGTAATAGGGAGTGAGCCTATTGCCATATACCGGGCACATTTCCAGACTCCATGCTACTACTGAAGTTTTTACAAACCCAGTAATACTTTGCCCGACCCGGGAATCGAACCCGAGACCCCTTGCCCGGCAGTCGCACTTGCGACCACTCTGCCAATGAAGCAGTCGCAAACACATATATCTTCAAATATTCACCCAATCCTGAATATTACAGCTTTCTTACAGTCCCAAAGTTTCATAGTATAGATTCGTAGTTCTTTGTTCTGAATGAAAAACGTCCTAAAGCTTACCCGTATTGGACAAGACTGTGACATTTGTTTTTATAATAACTATCGTGAGACATACTAAATTAAGTAAAAACGCGGGTTACTCACGTGAATATACTGAGAAAAGCTCTACTAGTTTCGAATCACAGAGGGGTTTTCCTCATGAGCAGCGTGCGCGGTCGCGGCGATGTAGCGCAGCTCACTGACTCGTCTGACTCGTCGCAAGCTGCAACCCGCGTTTTTACTTAACTATGACATTTTGTAAATTATGAGTACGATTGGAAATAACTCTTCTTGTTTCAGACTGAATCGATACTGCTAATCAAACCCTATCTAGCACTGCAAACCCCGTCTGAACTACACGTCGTGATGGCATCAGGATTCGCGACAGTGTCAGGTAAGCAACTGAAACCGGTTTCTACTAACCTCTCTTACATTTTAAGAAACCATTATTCGAACCGTGGAAGACTTAACGGGTTGGGGTCAGGCAGAAGTGCACATTATGCCACTGTACAATGTAACACCTACTTTTCACTATTTATGTTATGAGTCCCTTGTAATTAAGGGGGTGAGCCTATTGTCATATACCGGGCACAATTCCAGACTCCGTGCTACTGTAACTGAGAATTTTTTTATAATCCAGTAATACTTCTAAAAAAAAAATGCTAGAATAAATCGAAAATTAAGTATCGTCAAATGTATTAATGAAATTGAAAATTCAAAATATTTTTTTTTGACCCTGGATAATACCCATTTAGCGTTCCATAGTCTCTGCCTACCGACATGGGAGACAGGCGTGAGGTCATGTATGTATATATTATGTATGTATGTTGAGATATAACATAAGGACACAGATATATTTTATCAATACTGACCAATATTATCATTCATTACTTATGACATAAATTATTTTAATAGTCGTGTCGAAATATCTAATCAAGCTTATCGAAATTAATGCAAGAATTATACCTAATACGAAACCAATTCTTAAAGAATTTTTAAAAGATAACATTGAAGACGTATATGTCCTAAACAAATTACCGATTTATTGAAATTCTTTCACAATTCACATCTCTACATATTATTTAAAGGTGGTCCCTCGCCGGGAGCATTTACGTGTAATGTAACATTATAGATTCGACTTTGCGCATTACAATACAATAATACCTCCCTGACTAATGAGTATTTGCGTGTAATGTAACATATATCAAACAACATGTCTAAGCACTAACAACAAAAATAGAATACTGTCGACCGCTGAAGAACTTCTATTAGATAAATACAATATATGTCACTACATTACACCTAATGGTTCTACAGAGCAACTTCTTATCGGTATACAAACAAAGCTTCGTGATTATACAATGACTGACTACTGCATTGTATTAATTGGAGAAGAGGACTTCAAGATAACTAGCAACTATGACAGCAATATACTATTAATTCGTAATATATTAAAACAAGTTAGTCACACAAACATCATAATTTGCTTTCCTACGTATAAACTTACCAATCATAACAATCTTTACAACTGGAGAATTGAGACATTTAATAATCTATTATACTTATACTTAATAAAGCACGAGCATGCATACTATTTAGATTCCAACTATGATTTAACGTTTGATCGTTCTATGTTTAACTTACGAACAGGTGTAATAAATAACAATGGCATTCGAAACATTTTCGAAAATATACTTTTGTTGATAAACTATATTAATTCCAATTTCAACCAAAAATGTAAACTAAGTAGTGATACTGCTATTGTAGATGATTGTAACTCTCTGTTTTTTCGATATTAAATTCCTAAAAATTCTACACCAAAACATTGCAGGTCTTATAAATAAATCTGATATATTATCTATTCATTTAGACGAACTTAAAGATAAAAATGTAGACATTGATGTACTATGTATTACCGAACATTTCATGTTAGCCGGTTATGAAAGCATTTTTAATATGAAAAACTATAAACTAGCTTCAACTTTCAGTCGTAGCCAGATCAAAAGAGGTGGAGCTTGCATAATTGTCAACAATATACATAAGTTTAGAGAACTTCCTCAAATAAGCAAATTATCTATTAATAATGTTATCGAATGTTGTGCTATTGAACTGATAGAATCTAGAATTGTTGTTGTCTGTTTGTATAGAGTACCCAAACATAATAATTTGAATTTATTCTTTCAAAGATTTGAAGAAATTTTAGTACACATTTCAAAAATTAAATCCAATAATACCATTATAGCCGGTGACTTTAACATTGATGTATTAAAGTGCAATAATGTAACTTTGGATTTTGAATGTTTATTGATGAATTACAATTTTAAACTAGCGCTGAGACAACCTACTAGAACATTAAGTAACACGTGTATAGATAATTTTGCTCACAATTTTCAGAAACAATGCGTAACTGATATACTAGAGCTTGGAATGTCGGACCATACAGCACAAGTAATTGAGATCCCGGTCAAAAAAATGCTAAGATTAAAACATTGGTATAAAATCACGCGCGATTATAATTATGAAAATATACAAAAATTCAAAACGTGTATACAAAGCTTGTCCTTTAGTGAAATATACGAAACTGATGACCCAACATTAGCATATAGTAACTTCATAGATACATTTAAATTATTTTTCGACTTATGTTTTCCGTTAAAAAAAGTTTTAATAAGAGTAAATAACAAACCTAAATGGTTGTCTCGTGGAATTAAAATATGTTCTAAAAAGAAAAAAGAAATGCTGTGGAATTTTAGGCGTAAACCCTCACTTCTAAACAAATTAAATTATAAAAACTATTCTAAAAGAATTAAAACAATTATAAACCTAACAAAACGGGCTCAAAATAATTATAAAATAAATACATCAACTAATAAAAGTAAATCAACATGGCAAGTAATTAACAATAACAAAACTTCAGTACCAAAAGAATCGATAGATAAAATAAAAATTAATAACACTATTATTCAAAACCCTACAAACATAGCGAACGCATTTAATAAATATTTTATTGAAAAAGTACAACCTACCGTTGGTACAAGTAAAGAAACTACGAGATTGATTAGCCACAACACTAACTCCATGTTCATGTCCCCTTGTCTACCGATTCAGATGTTAAGAATTATAAATAATTTAAGAAACACAAATAGTGTCGGTTATGACGGAATACCCACTAAAATAATTAAATCAGTAGATAAGAGTATTGCAGGCCATTTAAGCCATATCTTAAACCTGTGTATAGTAAATGGTACGTTCCCAAAAAACTTAAAACTAACTATCATAAAACCCTTGCATAAAAAAGAGGATAAATTTTTAATGGAGAACTACCGACCAATAGCTCTTATACCTATATTCTCGAAAATATTTGAGAAATACTTGTACACAGAAATCAATAGTTATTTAGAAAAACATAAGATTCTATGTAATAATCAAAAGGGTTTCAGGCAAGGAAATAATATTAACATGGCAGTTTATGACTTCTTGTACGATGTATACACTCATGTCGACAAGTCTTTGCCTGTCTGCTCAATATATTGCGATATGTCTCAAGCTTTTGACTGCGTAGATCATAATATTTTAGTAGAAAAACTGTCAGCATACGGTATACGAGGTAATATATTGGAATTGATCAGGTCATATTTAACAGATCGTCAACAAATAACAGAAATAACAAAGTTCAATCCAACAACTAAAAGGGAACAGATATTTACATCTCATAAGCGTGACGTATCCTATGGCGTCCCACAAGGTAGTGTATTAGGTCCCCTTTTGTTCTTATTGTACATAAATGACCTACCTTCGGCCACAACAGAACCTATGGTCCTTTTTGCTGACGATAGCACCGTAACAATAAAATCTAAAGATCCAAATAATTACAATTTTGAAATAAATAATTCCTTGTCAAATATAATCGACTGGCTTAATAACAATAATTTAAAAATTAACCTCAAAAAAACCAATATAATGCACTTTAGACAGCGAGAAAACATAACTAATTCACTACCAGTTAATCTAATTTATAACGAGTATACTATACAAAAAGTGGACACAACTCGATTCTTGGGTTTAATTATTGATAGTCAACTCAGTTGGAAAAACCATATTGACGGACTAAGTAAAAAAGTTAGTAAGTCAGCATACGCCCTTTATAAACTGGCACCTACCGTTAACAAGGAAACTTTACTCACAGCATATTACGGCCTTGTCGAGTCGGTACTGAGGTTTGGGATAATCTTTTGGGGTAATTCCACTCACAAGGATATAGTCTTCAAACAACAAAAACGTTGCATAAGAGCTATGTTCGGAATAAAAAGTATGGACAGTTGTAGGCCGCTATTTGGTGAATACAAAATTTTAACACTTCCGTCTTTATACATACTTGAAGTTGCATTGTTTGTTAGAAGCAACTTGCACTTGTTTCCGCGCTTATCCGAATATCATGTTAGAAATCGACGTAATAATAACATTTGCATTCATCCATCTAGAACTGCATTGTTGCACAAAAGCATATTATGTCTGGGTCCTAAAATTTATAATAAAATACCTAAATGCATACAAGCCTTAAATTTTAACATGTTTAAAAATAAACTCAAACGTTTGTTACATAAGAAATGTTATTATAATATAGAAGATTTTTTGAAGGATAAATTTGACTTGTAATACAATTAACATAATTTTGTTGTACCTGTAACGGTTAATATTGTTTAGGTTTGCATGTTTATATAATTATATATTTTTTTTCACTACCTACTTTAATATTAAATAATAATTTTAAATATTTGTACGCCAAAACGGCATAACATGTAGCTCATACTCGTAACTTAACACCATTGCATGTACTCTTGTAATATTACTCATGTTAACGCAAATAAAAAATATCTTTATCTTTATCTTATCTTTATCTTTATCTAAGTGTGGGAGAGCCATGCTTCGGCACGATTGGGTCGGCTCGACCGGAGTGATTCCACAGCCTCACAAAAAACCGACGTGAAGCAACGCTTGCGTTGTGTTTCGTCGTGTGAGTGAGGTTACCGGAGGCCCAATTACCTTCCCCTTCGAGCGTACGGCGCGTCGCGTTCCGCGCGCGCCTCAAAGAGCCATCAGGGGGCTTACTCTTGAATCCAATTCCGATCGATCGACATTGGTATTGTGAAATTTCGTACTCTTGAGTTGCAATACTAGAGCCCATTGCATCCGTATTGCGTAGATATTGAATGAACTAAATGGTATTGAGTTTGTCTTTATATTCCGTACTCTGAATGCTATTGTAACAGCTAAGATTGTGGTTGTATAGTGTTGACATTTAATAATTATTGAGATCATATTGGATTGAAATTGCATTGACATTGAGATTGGTTTCAAGAGTAAGCGCCCTGACCACCACAGATGGGGCCCAATAGGGCCGATGCCGATTCGGAGTCGCGGAGAACCTAACGGGTAACCGGGGCTCCGGCTCAACGTGCAGGAGAAGGAACGGGGTGGTTTTTAGTCAGTAAGAGTCTGACACTCCCTCCCGCCTCACCCAGGCGGGAGCAGTCATTCGATGATTTTCCCCCCTTAAAAAAAAAACCCTCCCCTTCCCCAATCTCCCCAATTCCTGAATCCCCAACGATCCTCAAACTCCTAATCCCCAAAAGGCCGGTAACGCACTTGTAACGCCTCTGGTGTTCCAGGTGTCATGAGCGACGCCGATTGCTTACCATTAGGTGATCCGTCTAATCGTTTACCGGCTTATGCCATAAAAAAATAATACCTCCCTGACTAACGAGCAATCGTGTGTAATGTAACATAATATGTAGATTCGACTTTGAGCATTTAGTTAATAGCAAGATGTCTGACATTGATGTTAGGTACAAGTTGTATCAAGATATAACACATTGTATCGTTACAAGGTGCGCATTGTAATGCTCGGTTCTCTTCCTTCACTGATGTAATGCTCAGATCTGTAACGTTACATTACACGCGAACGCTCCCGGTGAGGGAGCACTTTAATGTCCTGAAAATAAAGATTATGTTTTCGACTTACTCACATTATAATCTGACGAGCAATTGACTAGTTTCAAGCCATGCTAGAGGCTCGTGTTTCTCGTCAAATCCTCCTTCCTCAATAATAATATGAATAAGCCGAAAAACATATAATTATTTTAGTATTTCTCACGAAAGTTAGGTTTAGTATAAAGTCCTGCAAATATGTCCTAAGCTGCAACGATCTTTCGACAGATAGCATCCTTTAAATAGGGATGATGACGGGGTATGAAAAAAAAATCTATTTATTCCGTAAGTTAGGTAATGAAAAAATATTAGACACGTATATTTTTATTTTGTCGTATAATAAAACAATACTTAAATAAAACGAATCAAAGTTTAGGAGTGGGGGCTAAAACGTCATTTCTACGTTTAAAATGTACATAGAAGTGACGTCACGCGACATTTCAAATCAATATATCGTCGAAAGTATTCGTTTCTGTAAGAAAATAAAAAATACGTGTCTAATGATTTTAAATAATCTACCAGACGGACATTAAAATAAAAATGAGGCATCTACCCTATTGTATTCTCTTCCTCATCAGGAACAATCCTGGCGTCCTACATCGGTTTCGGAGCAGAACCAGCTCACCTGGTGACCGCCAGCGTGATGTCAGCGCCGGCAGCAGTGTGCTACGCCAAGCTGTTACTGCCGGAGACCAAGCGGTCTTTGACTACCGTTGATAACATACAACCAGTTGAATGGTAAGTTCATACGTTTTTACATACATAACTTCACGCCTGTAGCATAATGTGCACCTCTGCCCACCCCTTCGGGGATAAAAGGCGTGATGTTATGCAGACTCAAGCACTGGTTACTTGAGTACAGCGCGACAGTCGCCGCGTCGCGGGTTGACGCAATGCTGCTCATGAATATGAGCCTCTAGCATGGTTTGAAACTAGTCGTGTTCCTCGACCAACAGTTACGTGAGTAAGCCGAAAACATAACACAACATCATCACGCCTTTTATCCCCGAAGGGGTAGGCAGAGGTGTACATTGCGGCACTTAATGCCACTGTACAATGTAACATGTATAATTCGTCAAGCATGTCTTTGCATTGTACTTACATATATGCGTACAGTATTGAAATATGTATCAGAGACATTGTAGAACATACTTTTTTTAAAAAGAGTAACGAATGGAGTTTCTTGCTCGTTCTTCTCCATTCGAATCTACTTTTTGGAATGAGCACCTAGCTTCACCTAGTTTCACTGACGGACTGACTGACAGACTATTATTTATTTTGTATTTGTTGACGTTTCAAAAGTACCAAACTATGGTTTAATCTGTCAAACACCAAGCGGTCACCGGTGACCGCGACCTATTGTTCTTTAATTGTGTCTATAAAACCGGTACTCGACGAGTTAATTGAAATAAATGCTTTGAATTTGACTTTGAACATCCACTTTTCACTATTTATGTTATGAGTCCCATGTAATAGGGGGTGAGCCTGTTGCCATATACCGGGCACATTTCCAGACTCCGTGTTACTACTGAGATTTTTTTTTAAACCCAGTATTACTTTGCCCGACCCAGGAATCGAACCCGAGATCCCTTGCCCGGCCGTCGCACTTGCGACCACTCGGCTAATGAGGCAGTATTTGTTTTTTGCGTATATATTTTTTCGGGTCCGAAAACAAAATAATTAATAAGTATGTCTCACGAACATAAACAAGTTATAATATAACCATAAATGCAGTTCAATTCAAATTATGTAAAAGATTGTCGTAAGGGCAGGTATTCTTTTATGGCATAAGCCGGTAAACGGTCAGACGGATCACCTAATGGTAAGCAATCGGCGTCGCTCATGGACACCTGGAACACCAAAGGCGTTAAAAGTGCGTTACCGGCCTTTTGGGGATTAGGAGTTTGGGGATCGTTGGGGATTCAGGGATTGGGGAGATTGGGGAAGGGGAGGGTAATTGGGCCTCCGGTAACCTCACTCACACGACGAAACACAACGCAAGCGTTGCTTCATGACGGTTTTCTGTGAGGCCGTGGTATCACTCCGGTCGAGCCGGCCCATTCGTGCCAAAGCATGGCTCTCCCACACTTCGTATTTCTAAGTATCTTGTGTTTTTTTTACAGTCAAGACAAGTCAGTCCTTTCAGCGGCCACAAGAGGCGCTACCAACGGTATAGCGCTGGTCCTCAATATTATAGCCAATATCATAGCGTTTGTGGCTTTTGTGGCGTTCGTCAACGGCGTCATCGGCTATTGTGCAAATTTAGTAGGATACGAAGACAAAAACCTGGAATGGATTTTCGGAAAAATATTCATACCTCTTGCATGGGTTATGGGTGAGTTGTTAATTTTTTTTAATGGTTTAAGCCAGTAAACGAGCGTACGGAACACCTGATGGTAAGCAATCGGCGCCACCAACGGACACAGGACCAGAGGCGTTACAAATGCGTTGCCTTAGGGATTAGAGGATTGGGGAGATTGGCGAGTTGGGTAATTGGGCCTCCGGTAACCTCACCCACAGGACGATACACAACGCAAGTTGTTTCACGTCGGTTTCCTGTGAGGCCGTGGTATCAATCCTGTCGAGCCACCCCATTCGAAAACGGCATCAAAATCGGTTTAGCCGATGGCGAGATAATCGCGAACAAACATACAGGTCAAAGTGAGAACCTCCTTCTTTTTTGAAGTCGGTTAAAAAGATTTTCCATCGCTGTATGTCACTAAATAAAATAGATATAAATATAGTAAAGTTTATGTGAAATTAAAGGTACGTTACATTGACTATTTTATGGCATAAGCTGGTAAACGAGTAGACGGATCACCTGATGGTAAGCCATCGGCGTCGCCCATAGACACCTGGAACACCAGAGGCGTTACAAGTGCGTTACTGGCCTTTTGGGGATTAGGAGTTTGATGATCTTCGGGGACTCAGGAATTGGGGAGATTGGGGAAGGGGAGGGTAATTGGGCCTTCGGTAACCTCACTTACACGACGAAACACAACGCAAGCGTTGCTTCACGTCGGTTTTCTGCTCGGCCGTGGTATCACTCCGGTCGAGACGACCCATACGTGCCGAAGCATGGCTCTCAAAACTTGAATACGTTAATGAAGATATACCGGCGTGAAATTATGTATATTTTAACAATCTAACAGGACATTCATGATTAAGTCGCGGTAATTAAATAAAGACATAAAGGACATATTTTTATTCTTTTACATGACAATGGAAAAACATTAAAATGAAATACATATACTTACTCAAGTTAATTTATTCGTTAACATTAATATTATTCTCTTGTCTATAACAATGACTAAGTACAGTTAACTCGGTGCATACAAATAAAACCATATTGTTATTGAACATAAGAGTTACTTTTATGTGTATTTGTATTTTTTCTTTTTTAAATACAAAAGTAATAATAGGACATAACGACATGACACATCACACATTTAAAGCTAAGGATGCGCGAAGCGATTTTCTCGGTCGCGGTTTCGGGCCCGCAGCCTTTGTAAAATACAGATTTGTATGTAAAAAATTAAAGCACATTTCACGACGCGTTATATGCTCGTGGCGGTTGAGATACTTTGCGGTTTCCGCTGCACCTGACGCGGCCGCGATACCGCAGCCGCCTCTGCGATCAGTTGGCGGGCGATCGCAATGTGAGGACCGGTCTGGATCTAAACTGATTGTTTAACCCCCCGTCTTGCGATATTCAACCGTCAAGTTTGCGGGCGATAATCGCAACCGCGGCGGCGGGCCCACAGAAAACTCCGGTCTCGTGAGTTTTGAAAATAAATCTCCATTCCGCCATCGCGGTGGGTGAAAATCGCGTCGTGATTCCGTAGCGTTATTCCTCGAGGAACTATATAGTCAGTGGCGCTAAAGTAAAACAAAAACACCACTTTTTTCCAGTTATGACAATAGTACTTGAACTTCACTAAAGGATCGATATACAGACAGATAGATACATATTTATATCACAGTCAAAGGCGTATTAACTCGTCGAGTACCGGTTTTATAGACACAATTAAAGAACAATAGGTCGCGGTCACCGGTGACCGCTTGGTGTTTGACAGTTTAAACCTGGCCTGGCCTGGCCAGAAAGGGCCCTAAGCAAGCACCTCATAGGCGCCCGTAAATTTTTTGGCGCCGCCGTCATTCTGTGGGCAACTATCCCAACTGGGCACGTGTATCTCGCGGCTATACATATAACCTATAAAATTTAATAGTATGTAGTTTATATTTTTGATGTAGCTGAAATAAATTTGAATTGCATCTTTTCAGGAGTACCATGGGAGGAGTGTGAGCTGGTTGGTTCCCTGATCGGCCTGAAGACGGTGGTCAACGAGTTCGTGGCCTATCAGAGAATGGGAGAGATGAAGAGAGACGGACTACTGTCTGTAAGTCAATCTAATATTAGTTTTCAATTATTTAATATCTCACCCACTATTACATGGGACTCATAGCATAAATAGTGAAAAGTGGGTGTTACATTGTACAGTGGCATAATGTGCACCTCTGCCTACCACTTCGGGAATAAAAGGCGTGATGTTATCTTATGTTATTATTTAATACATTTTCGTAACATTTACATAACATTACGTCTTTTTATCTCCTAAGGGGTAGGCAGACGTGCACATTACGGCACTTAATGCTACTGTACAATGTAACACTCACCTATCACTATTTACGTTATGAGTCCCATGTAATAGGGGGTGAGTTTCGCAATAATTTTTAGTGCTAAATATCGTATTGACTTGACTATTGGGGAAATTTGTAGATACTTTTTTTTAATTTGAGAAATAATAGGTAACTGTTTTTTTATGGTATTAGCTGGTTAACGAGCAGACGGATCACCTGACGGTAAGCAATCGGCGTCGCCCATGGACACTCGCAACATCAGAGGCGCTACAAGTGTGTTACCGACCTTTTGGGGATTGTAATTTAAGGATTATTGGGGATTCGGGGATTGGGGAGGCGGTAATTGGGCCTCCGGTAACCTCCGGTAACGCTAGTGTTGTTTCACGTCAGTTATCTGTTTGTTAATTTGAGAATCAGTTTCTTTTTAGATACCTACAGTTTTTTTTGTTTAATTTGGAATTATTGAACCGAAAATTTAGTATTTTTTGTGCAATAATAAATGTAGAAATATTGTAAAATGCATCCAAAATTATATCATATTATATGTATTTGTTTTCAGCCGCGAGCGGAGTTGATTGCAACTTACTCCCTCTGTGGTTTCACCAACCCTGGGTCAGCTGGTATCATGATAGGTGCCATCGCTGCCATGGCGCCTGGACAAAGAGAAGTGCTTTCTAGTGTGAGTATACAATCTTATTTTATTTACCATCATCAACATCAATCAACAACTTATACGTGCCCACTGCTGACCAAAGGCCTCTTCTCACACGGAGAAGGTTTGAGTAATAATCATCATGATTAGAAATTACAAGCCAAAGTTTCCTCACGATGTTTCCAAAATAAAAGTAGCTTACGTTACTCTTTAGTACATCAGCAACCTGCTAATAACAGTCGTGCAAAATCGGTCTAACCATTCTTACAATTTTTGTCTGTCTATCTAGACAGACAGACAAAAATATGTGTGTGTGTAAAAAATGTGGCATAATGTGCACTTCTGTCTACCCCTTCGGAGATAAAAGGCGTGATGTTATATTAAGTTATGCTATTTATTTTGTTCCAGGTGGCTGTGAGAGCATTCTTCGCGGGATGCGGCATCTGTTTCATGACAGCGTGCATAGCAGGTAACTAGTTCATCTTTAGCTTATTTAGCAAAGAGTATTTTTTATGGAGTAGAAATACCTTTTTATGGAACAAGTCGGCAAACGAGCAGACGGATCACCTATGATGGTAAGCGATCAGCGCTGCCCATAGACACCCGCAACTCCAGAGGAATCACAGGTGCGTTGCCAGTGACAAAGAAAACTGTGATAAAATACACTGCGAAATCAATTTGTTTAAACAAAAATTAAACGGTGAACCATTTCAAAAAGTAAACTTTGAAAGCGCATACGAACTCATAGTAGGTACATTATGCCATGTCGATGATTCTCAAAGAGCTATTCCTCGTCGGGTAGGACGTGCGATGCGAATAGTGCCTACAAATTTACCTACGTCTAGTGTTTCATGTGGGTACCTATTTCCATGGAAAAAATGTTTAAACTAAAAAATATGACATGTTTATTTTTTTGTGTTTACTCATTTTATACATTGAAAGTACTCCTTATGGTCAGTTATATTGCCGCAGCATGAAAACGAAATAGATTAAATACATGCTATAAAACAATTAACAAAGTTGCTATCCGCCGTCTGTATGTCCCTATGTATGCTTAGATCTTTAAAACTACGCAACGGATTTTGATGCGTTTTTTTTATAGATAGAGTGATTGTTAAGGGAGGTTTTTATGTATAACACATGCATATTGCACCTGCGCGAAGCCGGGGCGGGTCGTTAGTAATTTATAATTAACATACATAAAAAGGTTAGGTGCTCTCTCACGCAATGTGATTCAAGTAAAGAACTGAGTACCAAGCACGAATAACTATCACAATCGTAACGTAATAGTATCGAGCGCGTTCCGCGCTCTGATTGGCCGGCTCCAGTAAACCAACCAATCAGAGCGCCGAACGCGCTCGATACTATAACGTTACGATTGCGATAGTTATTCGTGCTTGGCCCTCGGGTCCATGGGATGAAAGCAACCATAAGAGATGCAATGTTAGTAACTTACTTTTTTCTTTTTTTTTCAGGTTTGCTGATGCCTGAAGGCGCCTTTATTTAAAAGTTATAGTTTTAATATATTTATAGTGTACGTACAGGTACCTATTGTGATGTAAATACGTATTAACATTTATAGACGATAATTTAATTTTATACAATTGTTATTTATTATTATTATTTATAGGTAATAAATATTTTGTAATAACTTGAGTTTTCTTTTTTAATAACCTTGTTTAACTCGATTCCTAAATCCGCGGCATGTAGATAAGTTCTTTTATAATTTTATGGGCCGACGTTTGACCACGATCTCGCCTGGTGGTAAGCGATGATGCGGTCTACGATAGAGCACGTCGTCCCATAAGCAACCTTTTTACTGGGGCCTTGAAGACATCCAGACACCCTTTACGAAATACAGTATTTTAAGTTCTAAGTACAGCCAGAGTTTTGGAAAAACTGAGTGTATTTGATGTCCGATACACGGTTAGCGCCAGCGTTGTGATGTTCACGTAAAAATATATGTAATTGTAAAGCTCTCACGTACCGGAACAGAGGAAATGCCAAGGTATTCATAAAAAAAGTCACAAAATGCCCCAATGGCCGATAAGAATTCAACTTTACCTTCTTCGAAACTGGCCTAGCAAAACCCAACTTCTAAAAAAATAAAAAGAAAAAAGAAGTAAAAATAAGAACGCTCCATTTTCAAAGCTGACAGCGGCATGTGAAAATGTCACTACACTATGCACTCCTTAGAATCAAGACAACACATTATAAAAAACATTTTTTTAATAACTGTAAATTTGTACAGTTATGATACCATATCGAAATTGCGAAGTATTCGCTAGTGTCATATTTTTTTTCGTTATCAAAATTTTCTGTAGTCTTGCAATCTGGTATCGCGGTATGTATAGGAAACAACCGACGCTAACTAGCATACCAGAACGGAACGAGAACGAGGATGAGCATTTAACTAACAAATGGGTGCCGAAGAAGAAACACGAAGTTCTTAAAGCTAAGTATAAATGTTTGAAGAAATTGTTCCAAATATACGATGCTAGCGTTATAGGGATCCTGCCGGAGTCTTACGGGCCGGAGGGGTACTTAGAAGAGGATATAAAGTCGACCAAGAAGAGAAAGAAGCGATCGCATCGCACGAAAACTGACGCATGCGCCGGGACGAACGAGGTGTCGAGCGGTGACGTCACGATGCACACTGACACTGACAAAGAGTCCATAGCTACGTCTGTAATAAGAGACCTCAAGATAACTAAATGTTCCTGCACGTCGACGCAGATGGAGTCCATACTACAGAAAGACAGCAAATACGCGGCTACCCAAGAGTCTAGGGAAAACATGACTTTGGAAAGGGCTCTCACCATCCCGAATATACCAGAACGCGATTGTCTTGAACGTCATGAACACCTCGAACGCCTGGAACGCCAGGAGTGCGAGTTTACCCAGACCAGCGACTCTCATCCCCTCCCTCACCCAATTCCTTACCTCATGATGAGCGAGAAACGCAAGCTCACGAGGTTCCAATGTTTCATCCACCGGATTTTCGGTATACGGCAAGAGAGACCGTATAAAAACTATGTATTGCCCAACGGCCATGTGTATGCCGCTAGCGATAATAATATTTCCCATAATTTCTGCGATAAGAGACGTCGCCGTGGCTTGAGATTCCGAAGGTTGCGACGCCCTAAGAAGATTCAATCGGAAATCGCTTTGAGAGATGTGAAAAGTCCCTTCATCTTGACTTATGTCCAATCAGTGCAGAGGAACTGTTTGATGGACACCACGCCGCGACAATGTCCGATTTTGGGATGCCGTATGATTTCCTATGGTAAGTTCCAAACACTGTGTTTTGACCTAGAAGACACTATCAGCCTGTTACGAGTCAAAACGAACCATGTCCTATCTCTTAATGAATTAGGATTCTTCTGTAGAAGTACATACTTAACATTCTTTGCCACGGAATAGCTATGGAGTTCACTGCTCTTTCTTCTTTAAAGGAATTTACGTTTTAACTTGAACCTCGAGTTACAACAGTTTCATAACTTATCTCTACCTGACCCATCCTATGTTATCTTAATAAACATACAAGTATATATCTATTGCGTTTGTTGAGAAAGTGTCAACATAGCTAGACAATTCGATAAGATAAGATACTCCGTCTTCAGGTTTTGAAACTGTGTCAACCAGGGTTGCCAAAGCTAATTCATCAAAATCCCCAAAATTCCTGATTGAATTCCCCAAATTGGGGAATAAAAATCTGCTGATTCCCCACAAATTCCCCGCAAAAGTTTTTTATAAAATAAAACTATAATCAATTATTTAAATAATATTGATTGTTTATCTTTTATATTTTTTTCCATATATTAGTCGAAAGCATTTTGTTCGAAGGGTTCAACTTGACACTGTCGCCCAGTTTTTTAATCCCTTCCCTTGTAGCCATTAATGATACTATAGTATCTGTATTCAATCTACTGCGGCTTTCAGTTTAAACATTTTTAAGGACACTAGCACTCGACTGATGCATTTGATAAAGGCAATATCAGCAATAATGAAATAACAATTTTTATGTTTGAGGATAGGTATTCTCCCGCAGCGTTTTTCATGCAAAACCCTTTACCCCGATAACATTCATCATCAATGTTATCTCCATGAACTTCAAGCCCATGTTGATGAAAATCCAGCTTAGCGTGAGTTCGCCACTCATCTCCTAATTTTTGTACTGTCACACTGCACTGGACATCACTTCAGTACAGGCACCAGTGATTTAATTTGAAACTGTTGAGCTTCTAATGGATTTGAAACACACATAATAGAAAATAAAGGATTTCGGAAATCAAATATCTTAATAATGTCCGACGTGAATTCCATATAAAATTCTTAGCATGTCTTATAGAAATCTGCAATAGCTGCAAAATGTACCTCGATTTTCATATTTTTTCAAATTTTCCATGTTCTCTCCAGCCTTCATGCTTTATGATTTAAAAAAAATGTTGTTATCGATAAAAAACGATGAAATATTTTCCAATTTGTGTCAAATGCCAAAAGATGTCAAAATCCCCGCATTTTCCCCACATAATGCCAATCCCCAATAAATCCCCAACCAACTTGAGATTCCCCGCAGTTTGGGGAATTCCCCACAGTTTGGCAACCCTGGTGTCAACATTACTCGGTAACTTTCTCTACACACACCCAACATTGTACTGGTTCTTAGCTATTTGTTTGTTTTCAGGAATAATTAACTACAACGACCACCTCAATCTCTGTCACTTCACCGACAGAAAATACATCTGCCATTACTGCCACGAAGGCTTCGAGAGAGAATACGACAAATACGTCCACGAGAACGAACACATCGGCATCTCCAAACTTGGAGACATCGGCATCTCCAAACTGGGTAGCACCAACATCTCCACACCATCCGCCACGCGACTTACCTACAAAAAAGCCAGCAACACCCAAACTGATCCAGAAATGACGAAATGTGACGTCCCAGAAGACAAATTGAAGAAGATCGTGTCATTTTTCGACAAGATATCTGATCCGGACCAAATTTTGACGGAAATCAAGAAAAGTAGATTCTCTGAATCGAATTTACAGCAGTCTAAGACAGCGACGCTTGAGACGACAGAGGAGTCTGATTCTTCAGACAAGCGCACGGTGAGCTGCGTCAATCTGCATCGCAAGATGGGCAAGTCCAAGAGTGCTTCGTCTGCCGAATCTGAGGTGACTTCGAAACTCCAGTACAGCTCGCCTATAGCATGTCATATTTGTGGAGAACAATTCAATTACAGGTAAGGTCAACTGTGCGAAGATTGGATGGGTGGAACACTGTCTAGTTAGCTATATCTCTCGTTCTTTGTCACGAATATAACGTTACTAAAATGGCTATAAAGTGATTGTATTGTATTGTATCTTGAGTTAATCTTCAGTATTTGTTGATATTTAGTAATTGTATTTATGTAACTATCCGGTCTTACACTTTTGCCGATCTTCGCCGAGTTGACGATACAGTTAGAGACGTTTCGGCCTGTGTTCTTCACTGCACTAAAATTTCTGTAATATTCAACTGTGACTGTCTAAATTCATCGTTAGGTTAATGGTCCAAATAGATTAGGAGATTTTAAAGACATTTTCATATATTGTTCTTGATAGATATCACGATTTTAACAGCAAATAAACTTTTTTCTCCTTTTCAGAAGGCAGTTAAGTCTCCACGTGGATTTAGAGCACCGCGTGCACGACAAATTTTCAAAATTCCACAGCTGCGCAGGCATCCTAAATCGTAGATCTCTGAATAGAGTCGACATGGTTTCTGAAGATGGAAAGATCCAAGTCCAAAGCTTGGATAGGACTCACTCGGGGGTTCATAGGTCTAATTCTGAAATTAGTCAGGACACTTATTCAGAAGTATCACATAGGAGGTCGGAGGAGAGTCTTAGTTGCGACCCCTCCACAAATATTGTGTACTATACTTCGATGGAAACAGTGAAGAAGCCGTCTGTTGTGAATAGCATCGTTAAAAAGGTTCGAAGTGGGTTCAATAGCTACAAATGGGAACCGGGAACTAAAATTATTCGTGTGTAGTCCGCGTGTGTTGTGAAGTGGCATTTGTGTTTTGTTACAAATATAGTGAAAAGTCCATTTATGTCGTTTTATTTTTGACTTGCCTCGAAGACTCCTCGTCACAAGTAACCAAGCAACTTCTGGTTTGGTTTATGAAGATTATCTCGTTAAGTTTAGTATGGTAATAGCAGATCTGTAAAAGCTCATCATGACAGTCCACCGCTGGACTCTGTCGCGGAGAACCTAACGGGCTACCGGGGCTCCGCTTCGACGTGCAGGAGAAGGAACGGGATGGTTTTTAGTAAGAGTCTGACACTCCCTCCCACCTCACCCAGGCGGGAGCAGTCATTCTATGATTTTTCCCCCTTAAAAAAAACCGCTAGACTCTGCTACATAAGCAAAGGACAATGACTACATGAGGTATCCATTAACAGTATTCAATCAAAATAAGTGTCCAAGACTGCTTGTTAATTAAATCTTGATGTATATGTGAACTAAGGGACTCGTAGAGGGAGGGAGATGTAATTTTCCTCAACTCCTAATATCCGTCGATCAGGAAATATCCCGCGAAAGGATATTTGCTGATCGATGTATACCGTGAGTGACCTTGGATGAAATGGGCTCATTTAGGTATATCGTAAAAAGGTGCTTTTCCACCAGATATGTGCTACGTTTCTGTGGATACGTTTGGCATCCACCAATCTGATTGAAACGGATAAAGGGCTCTTACACAAAACTGCGATGCGGCGTCGCATCGCAAAACTGCGAGCTCCCTCTACGCATCACAAGAACTTGCGAATTGATTCGTATCGCGCATCAAGATCTTATCTTGCCAAAATCTTCTTTGTTTCTTTTTCCTGTATCTTCTAAGCAAGCAATAACAGAATTGCACACTTCTTTTTACGATCCATGTCACGACTTAGTTCTCAATTTAAAATACGTTTAGTACGGTTGACGGTCGTCGAAGGAATAGTCAATAGTTGAACCTTGTCGCACGAAATCGCATCGTAATTTCTTGCGTTGCGATATCGCATCGCATCGTATCGCAGTTTTGTGTACGATCCCTTACATCGTTGCAGCATAGCTACTTAACAGAATTCTGATGGAAAAGCACCCTTGACCAATCTTAACGTACGAATGACATCTATTGATTGATGGAGATTGGAGAGCTTAGGGCTGATCTGTGGAGTCACGTGCTTGTAGAGATACATCCAATTGCACTACTTGGGAATTGAACCCAAAACCACTTGTTTATTAGTCTCATTTGCTACGACCAACCAATGATGTACCTAATCATACATTTGGGAGCAAAGAAACGAAGCCAGCGTTTTGTCCTTTTCATATCTTGATAAATATTTTCTGATACAAGTAATTTATATTAATTGGTAACGTATGTCGTATGAACAGTAATTTATTTACCTTTAAAATCAGAGCATTTTGTTGTAAAAGGAATATTATTTTCTAACATAACATCACGCCTTTTATGCGCGTTATTATTATTTAGAGGCGCACATTATGCCACTGTACAATGTAAGGCCCACTTTTCACTATTTATGTTACGGGTCCCATGTAATAGGGGGTTAGCCTATTGCCATATACCGGGCACAATTCCAGACTCCGTGCTACTACTGAGGATTTTTTTAAAACACAGTAATACTTTGTCCGACCCAGAATTCGAACCAGAAACCCTTTGCCTAGCAGTCGCACTTGCGACCACTCGGCCAACGAGGCAGTCATTTTTTAAGAGTTTGAGAAATCAAAAGTTAGACAAAGATGTGAACAAATATAATGTAGCACACTTTCACCATTGTTATGCGTTCCAGGTAAAAGAAAAAATGAGTCGAAATAAAAGACCAAAAATTATAAAAACCACACGTTTATTGTAGTTATCATTTTATATAATAATATATCTATAAACTAACATCCCACGTGGTGAGATCGCAGAAATCAAACTGACATGACGGGCAGTCGAACAAAATCGTGAAAACATAAATATGTTACATCTTACAAACTAGGCGATAACATAAAACTTAATTTCTAAAAAACCATTTAACCAAGTTAACTAACTACAGTCGTCTTCGTACTTCGTACAGTCGAACTGTACTGCAAAATTAAAATGCTCTGTACGGTCGAACAGCACTATACGGTCGAATTGTACTGTGTAGTTGAACTGTATTATAGTCGAAGTTAAATCGTGAGATGTGTAGATCAAACAGTTAAACTGTAAAGTTTTACTGTACTGTATTGTGCAGTCGGAACTGTATGGTACAGTCAAACTGTACTGTACAGTCCAACCGTACTATACAGTCGAATTCTACTGTGCTTTTTTAAACTTTAAAGTTTTAACTGAGGGTGTGCAGTCTGTATGGAGCAACGATTTAATTGTGCAGTCGATCTGTAGAGTGCATTAATGGCGTGCACAGAATGCTTAAGCACTAGAGAATACACAAGTGCGTTGCCGACCTTTAAAAAAGGACATTTGTTTAGATTTTATAACCTTAACGATTAGCTAGTCAACTTGGCTAAAGGTAACGTCTACTGTCTATTATAATAACAGCGAAACAACTATATTTAATAGACGAAAATAAATTGAAAACATGACTATGATCAAGGGTTAAATTTGAACAGACAGACAGAACTCTCAAACTTCAAATACTTCTTTAAACAAAAAGTTAATTATTTTAACAGAAATATGATCTAAGAATATTTAGACATCACTGACAAACTGTGAAGGAAAACATCGTGAGGAAACCTGGGGTAATCCTTACTAGTAATATTATAAATCTGAAAGTGAGTTTGTTTGTTTGTTCCACCTTCACGCCGTAACTACTCAACCGATTGCTTTGAATTTTTGCAGACGTAAAGTTAGAAGTCCGGATTAAATAATAGGGTACTTTTTAACCCGGAAAAAAATTATATTCCCGAGGAACAACAAAAGTATTGGTATAGATGGCGCTGTGTGTATTGGTATATGTCACATAGGCTACTTTTTATTCTTTTGTGACGCGAGCGAAGCCGCGGGTAAAAGCTAGTAATTTCTAATTTAAAGTTTGAAATCACCAACCCGCATTGAGCGAGCGTGGTGATTAATGCTCAATTCTTCTCCGTGTGATAAATGGCTTTTGCTCAGCAGTGGGCACTTAAAGGTAGTTGATGTATTAACAACTACCTATTATATGTAAATGAGGACTAAAACTTCTGTGTTTATTCAATGGCCCTAAATGCCTAGTTTTAAGTCTAGCTAGTATTTTAGTCGGGTCGAGTATTTTAGTAGTACTGTCTCGCTTTGATTATGGGATAGAAGCGAGAGAGAGCTTCCAAATATTCGCTACTCGATTAACATACTGGCGTAGTCCGAACAAAACAATGTAGCATGAGGTTCTATTTATCCAATCATAGTAATTATCACAAATTGTTCAAATTCTCTATTCAACTTGAAGGACCTCACGTCACATCCCTAACTGGTGTGCACAAAAATGTAGGTCGTCATACAGTTAGGTACTTTTTTAATTTCATCTTTTGAATTATATTAGCAATTTAGTCTGAAAAACAGGTTGTGAGTAACAAATCTTACATTGTACATACTATAGATAAAAAAATCACACGATTTACTTACAAAAAAACAAAGAAAGTTTAAAATTAAAAACTATAGTTCTTATACATTTTATAATAGACAATAAACTAAAATTAATATAATATAAGGATTCAGTATAAATATGCTGCGCAAAACTGACTATTCTGCAGTGATTACCTAAACTATATTTCAATGTTTTCTTGTTTAACTTTATATTGTCTATTTCGAGTAAAAAGGGTATCAAAATAGACTATTACAACATTTAATCGTAAAAATTAAGTTTTTAGTGCAAACTACTACATTTTTAACTTGTATTAAAACGAATGACAAGTTTGACATAACAAAAAAATTAAACGTCAAATTTTGGCGCCAACTGTAAAATGTTTTCGTAATTTATTTTTAATCTATGCTATGTTTGAATGTGTGTATGCTGTATTTTTACACAGAGAAACAAGAAAAATTCGTTGATGGGTAAAATAGTTTATAATTATGTTTATATTTGTAAATGGTTAATCTGCCTAATTTTAAAACATACTCTAACTCTATTTAGAAATTTAATAAAATAAATTAATTCACAACTACTTGAATAACTTCAATGAAACATAATTATATAAAAAAGGAAATCAGATAAAAAACAACGGATCATAAGTCTAAAAATGTAATGCAATTATAAAAAATATTTGTATTAATTTAATACATACATACGCCATGATTTTATTTAAATATTTTAATTAAAAATTTAAAAAACTTTTGCTTTCACAACAAAAATTGGTTTACAACCGCTGCACGCAATGCAAGTTTTAGTTTTTAATATTTTCAATAATTTTTGATATTATTGACAATCAAATTGTCGTTATTTTTTAAATTTCCAATTTAATTTAGATACTACAGTCATACGATTAGTCGCGTAACCATAGTCTCTATAGACCAGTACAAACACTAGGATTGACTCGGTTGCCGGCAATTACTTGTGCAACCAAGTTGCTACCAGGTGAAATACCGTCCACAGAACTGTTGCGCGACCTGGGTGCTCACTCTTGAAATCAATCTCAATGTCAATCCAATAAAATCTCAATAATTAGTCAATGTCAAAACTATACAACCACAATCGTAGCTGTTAAAATGGCATTCAGGGTACGGAGTAAAAAACCAAATTTAATACCATTTAGTTCATTCAATATCCATGCAATACGGATGCAATGGGGCCAGTGTTGCAACTCGAGAGTACGAAATTTCACAATACCAATGTCGATCGATCGGAATTGGATTCAAGAGTAAGACCCCTGGTCGTAAATAGGGATAGAGTAGGCAGAGATGGACATATCATGCCACCTATTTTATTCCATTTAAGATATCATGCCACCTATTTTATGCCATTTAAGTTAACATTATGACATATAAGCAGGAAAGAGACCAATCTTATATAGTTTTTCTTCTCATACATTCA